AGATGTCCCATCCACCCAGGCTGCTGCAGTGCCACTCTCCCCTCGCAGGCCCTGCTGCACCTACCTGATTGGCAATGACCGTTTCATAGTGGTAAATGCCAGGGTTCAGCTGCCAGCGGCAGAACTCACCACGCCAACCACGGGTGATGGTGCCTCCCCCAATTCCACCCAGCGGACACCCTGGAAAAGATACCAGAAATTAGCACTCCCATTCCTCCCCATGGTGGGATTTGGCTCAAAGATTCCCCCCATAGCTCTGGGGATCTCCTCAGCACAGTCTGCACCACAGAAGCTTCTTGACTCACTCACTCCCTCTAGCACCTTGATGGCCCCATGTGAATCCCTGCCCACCCAGCACTCTGGGCATTGCACCACCCCAGTGCCCAAACTGGAGGCTGACCATAGATCTGCTGCAGAGGGACAGCACACAAGAGATCAATGAAGGCAGATTTCTTCTCTATGCGGGTCTTTTTGTACCACCATCTGAAGTATCTGCAAGGACAAGAGAGAGATGAAAGAAGGGAGCAGACACCACTGTTCCTTCAGTGTCACTGGGCAGAATGTGACCAGCTTGGGTTGAGCTTTCCTTCCTTGTAGAGATGTGCAACAGGAGCCTGTGTCCCAGGGCACAAGGGGTGACAGCCCCTGCCATCCATCAGAAGCACGTATCAGTCAGTGGGCATGAGCAGGCAGGGCTCAGAGCTGACTGCAAAGGCACAGTGTGAAAAGAGAGCACTCTGATACCTGAGAGGAGGGCTCCCATCTTGTGCACGACTGAACTACCACCACCTCCATGCCTGGTATGGAATGTCCCGCTAGGGAAAGCCTGGGAGTGGAAGTACACGCCCAGAGAAGCCACACGCTCCTCTAGGGACACGAGCCTTGCTCTTTCACCTCCACATCCCTGTTGCCACATGCAGCCCTGCCACTTCCCAGTGTCACATCCCTGGGGGCAGATGGTACAGGGCAACCTTGCCCTGGAGGAGGTGATGTCTGCAGCTGGCAGGATCCTGAGGACTCACCTCTGCCCACAAGCCAGCTGCACAGCCCGGCACTGTCCATCAGATAATTTCTCACCCAAAGGTCTGGGAATTGAGACACTCAGACAGGGGCACACCTGCAGCTGGGTGTGCCAGCACCACTCCAGGCAAGAGGAGCAGGGCTGGGCGCCGAGCCGCCGCTTGTAAAGGCCTGGCTTTTGCTAATAAACCGCCTCTTTTTTCCGCCTCAAGTTAACCCTTCCATACTTAGACAACTGGAATACGGAAACCAGCTACCAGACCAGAAGCCTCTGAACTTTGCCCAGCAAACATTCAGGTATTTTTTTTCGTGGCCCCAGATGCCAGGCGGTCAGTGAGGCCACAGGAGCCCCTACAGTAGGCAAAGTACCTGAGCTACCTGCAGACACCCATGCCGCGCTGCCAAGGAGAAAACCACCTCAACCAGGAGCACAAAGCCTGTCCTGTCCCAATGGATCACAGGATGCAGAGCTCAGGAGATAGGCAATGGGCAGGCAAAAATCCCCTGGGACATGGACACCCAGGAGCAAGGGCT